GGGGAGTGAGTGGTAGTGATGGTTGAGTGAATTGCTAGTAGCCAATGACTTGATCAATTATGACTATGCAATAAAGCCTCTATAATCCAAAAGGTTTTGGAGAACTTTCAAGTTGGGGAACCAGACCTACTGGGCCCCAAACTACACATGTAGAGAAATTCCTTTGTGACCTTGTGCTATGTATCTCTTCATCTAGTTGTTGACTCGTGCCTTTTAATATACTTAATAAGTCAGTAGTCTAGCGAATAGTTCTGTGAGCCATTTGCTAGAATGCTAGCAAATTAATCAATCCCAAGGAGGATATAGCCAGTCATCCGAAACACAGGTGCCACCCTAGGTTTGAGATTGGCACCTGAAGCCAAAGGCCTTTGTGAAACTGAGCCCTTAACCCATGGAATCTGATGGCTATCTCCTAGTGGCAGAATTGAGTTGAATTGTAGGAGATCCACCTGGTGTTTGAGAATTGCCAGTTGGTTGGTGAGGAATCCTCTTCCCCACCCCCACCCCAAGCCATGTACACACACTAACATATTCACTGGGACTGGGTGTAAAAAACTTTTTGCGGACCCTCCCTGGTGGCACAAGGGGTTAAAGCGCAGAGCTATGAAGCTCTCCGCACTATGAAGCTAGCCTCAGCCACTGCTGCACAAGTTTGATCCCCAGCCCGGGAGCTGACACACATGGTGCAGCAGACCTCTCCTATCTCACCTGCCGCTCCCCTCAGCAGTGTATTTCAGTAGATTTGTTTGTTCTGCTCCCCACTTTGTCTCTGGTGAATCCTTTCAGCCCCCGCCCACCTCCCACCTTTGGCCTACACTCCAGTTTGTATGCATAAATAAATCTTTTAAAATTATTTTTTGCTTCTTTACTCTATTTCATATACAACGGCATTTGCTGTATTAAATTCAGGTTCAATTTCAGTGCTTTAGAGAGCTCTGCACAGCAGCTGTTCGTCCTCTTGTGACTTGTTCTGCCCTGTCATCAGTGTAAACATTTTCACTTACAGTTTATCCTACTCCTTTCCATTGAGCTGATGCTCCTAGTGTGTGTTGCGGCCATCTGTCTCTTGGTTGGTTTTTTAGCTTTGTTTTACAGCAGTTTAATTGTGAGCACCTGGAAGAAGTGAGCTCAGTGTCTTCACTCTCCCCTCACTTTCATTTTTTAAAGGTGAGCTTAGCTTAATGAAGAATTTTTGGTTGACAGATGTTTTCTAAAACCACTTTCAATATGTCATCTCTCTATCTTCTGTTCTCCACAGTTTTTGAAGAAAACTTGGCTGTTAATCTTTCTGAGAACCTCTGTGTCGTGACCAATCACTTGCCTATCCCTGCTTTCAAGATATTTTCTTTGCCTTTGACAGTTTGACTATAATGTGTCTTGATGAGCTTATACTCCATAAAGTTTGCTATATTTCTAGATGTGTGACTTTTTTTCTTTATTTAAATGAGTCCCCATGGGGCTCTAGTTAATACCAGAGACTTTTTTAAAGATTATTTATGTATACAAGAAGTGGGGTACAGGCCAGAGGTGTGGAGTGGGGGTGAAGAACAGCAAGATGTACAAAATCCACTGCTGAGGGGAACAGTGGGTAGGACAGGAGAGGTCTGCTGCGCCATGTGGGTCACCTCCCTGGCGGGGATGGAACTCATCATGCTGCAGTGGCTGCCAATAGCTTCATAGTGCTGTTTTAACCCCTTGCTCCACCAGGGAGGGACATGTGACTTATTTAAATTTTAAAATTTTGCTCATCATTTTTCTTCCCCTTCTTAGGCTCCCATAGGTGGGTGCTAGTACATTTGATTGTGTCCACATGTCTTTTGTGTTATTTCTCATGCTTTCTCTTCTTTTCTTTAGACTGGATCTTTCCAATTGACCTTTCTAAAAGTTCCCTAATTCTTCCTTCTGTCTGTTTACATCTGATGTTGAGCTTTTTTAGCTTTAAATTTTTATTTCAGCTACTGTACTTTTCAGCTCCGGAATTTCTACTGGTTCCTTTTGGTAATTTCTTCCTGTTTATTGATCATCCTTATTTGATGAGACATTATTCTCCTGGTTTCTTTTAGTTCTTTGCCCATGATTTCCCTTAGTGCTCTCAGCATATTAAAGACAGTTAAAGTCTTTGCCTGTTCAGTCCCAAGTCTGGGCTGGGCTTTCTCAGGGACAGATTCTTTTGCTCCCCCGCCTTTATTTTATTTTATTTTATTTTATTTTATTTTTTACTGTGAATAGGTTATACTTTCTTTGCATACTAATACTTATTTTTTTTTATTTTCAGAAACTGGATATGTTGAATATTACATCGTGGCATCTTGGGAATTTTATTTTTCCCTCTCCCCAAGCTTTGTGGTTGCTGATTATTGTGGGCTGTTGTTATATATAGTGACTTCTAAACTATCTTTGTAAAGTCTGTATTCTTTATTATGTATGTCCACTGAAATCTGCATTGCCATAGTTTAATGTTCAGCTGGTATTTTGACAAGTTACTTTAAATACTTGGAACCAATAAAAGAACAAAAAGAAGCAACACTCTGCCCATCTTTGCAGACTGGCTCTGTGCTGGGAGCTTGTTCAGTGCTTAGCCAGGCCAGTCTATAACTGTTAGTTTACACTTTCTACTTGCACAGAATCCGAAGGTCAGCCAGAGGTGAAAGCTATGGGTCTCTTCAGGCCTGTAAAGCATATGTATCCCACTCGGAGCATACTTGTAGCCTTTTCAATTCCTCTGCGTAGTGGGAACCTTTAACAAGCCTTTATTCACCCATGCACCTCCTTTCCCAGTCATTTGCTCCCAGATTTCTCATTCTCTTTATGGTTTGTTCTATGTATTGTCCTGGCCCCTGTGGCTAATATCTCAGCCTTTAAATGTTTTTGGGAAAAGCCTCTCCGCTCCTGGAAAGGATCTGGTCAGGCAAAACAAAAAGAGATCTTTGTGGCAAGACTTGAGTGAGCTGCCAGATAAGTCAAGACCCACAGACACTGTTCTTTGAGAAAAAATCCATAATGTTCCTTCTGGCAATCTTCCCCGGGTCAATTTGGGATATAGTAGATGGTGGCTGGCAAGTTAAAACACTACAGAATTCTCTTGCTGCATTGCAAGAGCTTCTACAACAACTTTCCCTGATTCTTAAAGTTTATTAGATTACAGAGTTCTGTGAAAGTTGATTCTATAGGCCTCTATTGAGGGCTTACTCTCTCATATGGAACCTACATTCTTCAAGATGCTACAGATAAATTTGATTTATCAGTTCTACTTCAGAATGTGCAGATAATTCTATGGGAGACTGTTGCATTGTAGTCATGGTTTCCAACTTTTGGGGAAAATTAATTTCCATCCTTTGACCTGAGCCTGATGAATTTAAAAAGAGAGAAGGGTCAGAAGAAAAGAGTCATGTACCCCTTCCTGACAGGGTCCCAGTGATTAAAAGTAAACGATAATTCCCTTAAAACAAAAATAGGGGTAAACATAACAGACTAACCTCCTGAGTTCCTTAATCGTGTTGCATCTGGTTGAAATAAAAATTATAACAGCATTTGATGTGGTGCTCAATGCATATAGAGGAAACTGTTAAGGCAATTATAGTTAAACACTTAAGAG